TTTTTCTATTTTTCTGTGCTTTTTTTGTTTGCTTCCTATCTTAAAATTTTTTCTTCTCACTAGAATGATGACAACGTTCTCGAAAATGGTCGTAACATAGGCTTTGATGTTGATTTTCGCAGTTGAATCCGCTAAATATTCCCCTACGACTTTCCAAACAACGGCTTAACATCTAGCGTTCCAGGTGGTTGTTTGGAGTAGGACGGTGGGCGGGCTCAATGGGGTTGGGGCGGCGCCAATGCTCCAACCTAGGCTCCTAGCGCCTAAACCTTATCAAAACGCCCCGCCACTTCTGCACATGGTCTGCCCTTGCGTACTGCTGCATATTTGACGGGGAAAACCTAAATTTCGCCAGAAATCCCGGAATTTGCCTTTAATGTAAAAGCATGCGTCTCAGGTCCATGTTTTCTTTCCGAACTTTCTATTTTCTGCTCTGTTTCCTGACATCTTCATCCAGCTCACTTTGCGAGGACAGATTTTTAGTGCAATAACCACACTGCTGTCCGTAAAGAGATAAAACATAATCTTGACATCACTATAGCATAGCGAAGCATGGCTTTACCTAACAACTAAAAAGCACTCCTTCAAGGCGCTTTTTTTGCTCGTACGGTTTACGTACGTTATCGATTTATCATTTCTTATGCTCTCACCTGAAATCTAGGCTCAGACGGTATGATCGGCACTAGCGACTATGTACCAAACGAAGAATGGAGTTTGGTCGCGACTTCTGGTTAGTCTGTTGGGTTCTGTTTGTAATGCGGTGATGTCATATATCATGAATTGTTGCAAATTCATGTTTTAAATCACCGCTGCTTCTTCTGTTCGCCTTTTGGATGCGCAAGCCATCTGTTTCACGCATGCCACTAACAGCACTGCTTTCGTTCAACAATTTTTTTTATAATTCACATGGAATAGTTAGAAATTAGCTTAGCTCTCCTGATTCGAGGATGCCTTTTCCTCTTCAGCACTACTATGAAATGCCAAGGAGACTCCTTCGAAGTCTCCTTGGCCGGAGGCATCAACTAAGCTTGAGGTGATTCTTATGTTTAGTCTCATGTCATTTCAAGCAAAGACCAGAGTTCTCCTAAGCGACTTGTCCTATGTGTTCCTTACTAACATCAGCACTGAATTACTAGTAGGCTTGTCAAAATAAAAGATCCGTTCTCTCCACCAATTAAAGACTGACTCAGGTGTGACTATAATTTTCTCATCACTGAAAATTCAAAAAACGAAGCTCATTCAAAAGCGAGAAAACATTTATTACCTGATAATTACCATTTAGCCTTAAGTTGGCACCGGTTATGTTAGGTCATCTCATTCAAACATGGCTTGCCATACAGAGAAATGATGGGGAAGCAGAAGAGCTAGCGCCCCAGCTTGGGTTTGTTTTAGAACTCAGACATCTAGCTATGTACATTATCCCCCAATTTACACTAAATAAGTCATACTGGCCCTAATCAAGGCGGAATTTTTTAAGGAGGTGTCATACACGGAAAATTCGCGGCTCGAACTTTAGGCTCACTCAGGGATTCAGCGCTTTCGAAGCGCTATGTTTAAGACTTGGCGAGAGAGAAGGAAGAACCGATGCGAGTTGTGGTTGAGGACGCGCTCATATTGTCCACCTTGTCCAAGAAGAGCGGGTGGATGAAATGAGGTTTCAAATGGCGCATCACAGATGTTGAACCTTTGCGATGTTTGCCCACGAGACTTGCAGTCTAGCTGCACCTGTTACGCAAATTGTGCCCAAAAATTGGGGATGGTCCACAGAACATGTTTTTGGATATCCTCATTTACTTGCAGATGCGCAGTCCAGAATCGAATTGGTGCCTGGCGCAAAAGTCTTCTCTGTAAATAATGTCCTCTTAGACTACCACACTGGACGCTGTCCATAAGCGAAATTGGATTGGACTGTACGGTGATTTCGAAGTCAAAAGCGTCGGCTTTGAATGAGTGCCAAGGTAACGGCCCGAAATGGATCATAGAAAGTCACGTGGATGATTATTATGACGATTGATTTTTGAGATGTGCAACGATCACATTGATAATTGAATAGCAATACAACCACAAGAACCACATCACCTATTGTCATTGCAATGCCCTACGTATCTCATATCGCTCAGGGGTATTACGACCAAAATGTTATGAACACCACATCCGCCAATTTTTTCAACTGCAGCCGTGCGACCTCACCTGTTCTGGCCATTTGAAAGCAAGACCAGTTGGCAAACGCTACGACAATTCGTCTATCATCGATACTGACATCAAGAGCATCGCCTATACTTGCTAAAAAATAAAGCGCTTGGTGTCCAGTGTTCCCTGGACGCATGGACCGCGCCGTCTGCAGTGACAAGATGTACACGGTGTCCCAAAATTACTTGCGCCTACAGTGCGTTTCATTGGTATACGTCCACCCCTGATTTTACCGAAAACGTTTCTTGAAGGACTGGCCCAATTTAGCAGCATACATTATCGGATTCGTTGTCCAGGAAAACTACGGAACACATGTTTTCAGACAGGCAAGTCTATGGCGAAATTTTTTAGAAGCATTTTTTCGTTTTTTGACCGTTTCATAGTATACGTCCACTTTGAATTTCTGTTTATTTATGCAAAGTCAGAAAGTGCTCAATGAAAATAAGTTGTCAATTGGTGCTCTCTGTTCGAATGGCAGCTCTATGAGTCAATGTGACATACTCACTGTTGAACTGCCGAGGATTGAAGGGCCGATGCTGCAGCACCCGTCCATGATCGCCTTTTCATTGTGTAGAAGTTGGAAAACCGCCTTTTGTTGTCGTGAACCTGTTGCACAATTACACCCCAAAGTTTTCTATGGAGTTCAGATCAGGACTGCGTGCAGGCCGCTCCATAACGACCACTTTCTGTCGTTAGAACCACGCAGACGTTGACCTGTAAGCATGGACACTTGCACTGTCCTGCTAGAAAACTAGCTTTTATCGCCGCCTGCAGTTCAGGAACAGCGATAAGTTTGATCCCAAAGCTCTTGTCAGTCCATTCGGTAAAAAACAAATGCGAGCTCCAGCTTCCTGTCCCACAGAGACCCCTCAAACTATCAGCGAACCGATACCAAACCTGCGCTTGCTGATCTGCACTGGGTCTTTCTTCAGATCACCCCAGTTACATCTGACATTACCGTGTGCGCCCGGGTTATGATTCTTTTCGTCTGAGAAGACTATTCAAAGAATTTGAAAGACTCTACAGTGCAGAAACTGCGCCCAGTTTTACAGCTGCACCTGGTTCCAATCCGTTGCCGCGTCCTTTCGAGTAAAACCAAGACGAGCCAACTCGAGTGCTCCGGTTAGATGTGGGTCTTGCTCATAAATTCTCTCACAATGTCACCGCTCCATTTGATAGCCCTCACTACGGTGGATTTCGAGACAAACACCTACAAATCTGCACGGATTTGGTTGATGCTGCATGTGTTGCTGGAAACTTTCCTCCAAATTTCTCGTTAATCTCTGACGGATAGCTTGCGTTGGCGTCTAGGAGTTTCGCCGTCGAGGTAGCCTTCAGAATCTCTGAGATGAAAGCAAAGCAAGCAGTGAATCCTGTCGATTTGTCTGGTGGTTTGCCGATGCCTGAGTCCGCCATCATGGAGAGCCCGAAATCGAGTCTTTTCCTCTACAGAAAGACGGAGACCACGGGCATCGCGAGAAGACTAGTCGGTTCTACATCTGGTACAAACACGCACTTCGGTTGGATCAGGAAAATTTATTTCGAGAAGTATACTAAGAGTGGACGTATATTATGAAACGGTCGAAAATCGAAGAAGTACTTCTAAAAAATTTCCCCGTAATCTTACTTCTTTGAGAACGTGCTTTTCGTAGTTTTCTAACACAGTGAATCCGATAATGTATGCTGCTAAATTGGGCAAAGTCTTCAAGAAACGTTTTTGGTAAAATCAGGGGTGGACGTATACCAATGAAACGCACTGTATTTTTGCGATGCTTCAAAATTTGAAACACAGAATGACAATTGAATCGCAGAGTTGACCCGCGATTGCCTTGTTTATACCGGATTAGTACTGAGAGTTCAATGATTGCGATTAAGGGCAGCAATAAGCTTTTTCCTCGCGGCGACCGACTCGGCCAGCTCACAGCTCCCACCTGTCTTGAACGAGCTTGGCTCCGTGGGCTGAAGCACTGTCCCGCTGGAAACCACCACGGCCAAGGCCGAATCGTTCCAGCAGCATGCACGTACTTGCTAAGTCTTCAAGCACATGGATCAGCGCCAAACCTAACGGAGTACCCCTGTACGCGCCCTCACCTCCAACAGCTTCTATGATGCCGGGTTAGCCGTTCTTACAGCAATCCTTCCCCGTAATATAGCACTCCCGATATTTCCAGTAAGAATGTGGTCGTTTTGACGATTCAACACTGGCTCCACGGTGGGCATGTATCGGTTTGAAAAACGATCGAGAGTTGCGTGCCGGCGAGACCATCTAATCAATCTTGAGGGGAAATTACAAGAAATTAAGTGATGTCCTTCGATGCAGTCCCTTCCTCAGGCATGTGACTGATCGCAGGTCGCATTGGATCACCTCTTGCCATCTCGGAGATACTGGCAGTTTACCCCAATAAAGATGCAGTTCACAAGAGAACCTCTTTGCACAACTAATTAGTAGCGCGAAAAATGAAATAATAACATACCTTTTCTAGTAGTTTTTGAATTTTTGGCGCAAGTAATTTTGGGACACCCTGTACTTAACTCAATAACAAAACACAGCTTTTTATCTTTTCTGCTGATCACTTTATTTGAGTAAGCCCTTTCACACAGTTGAAAGAGATGACCTAATAACTAGGGCTTGAGAATTTTTATCCAAACAATTTTGCTAGTAACTGCGCTCAAAACCTTTTTAAAGAACCGACGGAACGTATTGAATTCTAA